AGCTTTGCTTCTCCTTCCTTTGACTCAGCAGGACAGAGAGCCTCTTTAGGGGAAGGAGAGACCAGCCAAGTCTCTTGCTTTCCCTCCTCGGCTCTGTTCAGTGTTGCTCTTCTTCAGTGTTGGAGATCACCTTTCTGGTAGACCTTCTCTCTTGCCTTATTCCTCTCTAGACAGTGCTCCAGCCTGGAGACCACCTCAGCATCCTTTTCCTACCCAACTTCTCTAGCACTCAGTTCTCCTGGGCAGCTCCCTGACTTTTCCTTGCCACTGTCTTATGAGTGTCTTCCCATCCTGAACAGACACTAGGCTCTCCTTCATGGACCAACTCCATCACACAATCACCAAGGGATATTCTAGTAACACCATGGAACGGCATGGATCTGGTGAATTCACCATGCACCAAGAACATTTGCTCTTTTGTCCACTGGACCACCAAGATGTCCAAGTCCTCATCCTGCTCCATGGACTATGGATGGCCACAGTGACCTCCTAGAAGAGACGCAGGTCCCTTCCTTCTAGTGCAAGCGGCTCCTGGAGAGGCTGGCAGGCACCTCCTGAAGTCAGGAGGCCATGCTCCTTCCCACATTAGCACATGAATAGGGCCGGGGGGAGGTGGGAAGGGGGGCAAGCCCCCACTGTCCACTCAAGCAAACAATTTGGCTAGCAAATTGACATAATTACAAGGGACAGAGAGAAAAGAAAGGCGAGCCCCCTCCCCTGCGCTCCAGAGGGCCCGACCCCTGCCGAGTTACTTAGACCCTTTGTGAGACTCAATGCTAGGTACTGATTAGGGAACGTATGCCCTTTTCAAGGGCTCTAAGTGATTGGCTGCCTTAATCTGATTACAATTTACAGCACTCCTTAAGAAGGGGCTGGAGTGCYTTTCACACACGTACATGGACACACCAGGCCTGACATGCACACATTCGCGCCAACACAAAGGCGCAYGTATGTGCAGGGACGCGCCGGCCCGGGCGCACGCGTGTAACGTGCCCGCGTGTGCTTGCGGACATGCCGGCACCGCGGGCACACGGTGCAACACGCACACGCCAGCACGTCGTGCCAACAGATGGTTTGCAACACGATACCGTGTCTGCTCATGTGCAAGGAGGTTAAGTGCACGTGCAAAAGTGTCAGTCGCAGCAGCATACGTGTTGACATGCAAGCAGCAAGTGATCAGGTGTGACCTGTGCCTCAGGCATGCAATGGCAGGCAGTTTTAGCCCATACAGTGGCAGGCGGTTTTAGCCCAAATCCAGAGTTTACACAGTGTACTTGCTCACACACACACGGAGACATCCATAAACAGTCCCCCCAAGTGTGTGATGGGGACAACCATGCAACAGCCAGGCTGGTGGCCTGATGTACAGGCACAGAAATAACAGGAGAAGCCTCCTGGGTCCCAAGGCCGGCCAGCAGACAGGTGTCCACCCGCAGAGGTACAAGGATCCCGCTGGAAGCGGCGGGACTCAGAGCCAGGCAAAGGCCATCCCTGGTGAGCTCTGCAGCAGCTTTCAGGAGCGGGAGTATGATCTAAGCCCACCTGCCTGCCTATTAAAAGCAGGATTAAACGTTGCTGTTCCTCGCCCGCCCCCTTCCCCCTTCACACTCTCTAACATCATCCCCTTGGGGAAACCACCATCTTTACATGAGATTTTTTTTTTTAACCTCCTTTCTACTCCGTGCTCCATAGATCCCAGGGGATTAGCAGCCAGTCTGGGCCTACCAGCCGACTGGAAGGCTGGTTGTTTCAGCCAGCCCCCCATGGGAACCTGCCCTGGGACGGCTTTGGTCAATGTCTCCGGTGCTTCCCAGCCAATTTGTACCACCTAATCCCTGAGGGTATCAACAGCTCYTTTCTCACACGTCCCTCCAGAGCAGGCCAATCCTCCACTCTCCACGATCCCCTGTTGAGAAGCCCTCCGTCCACTGCTGGGGCCATGACCGCACTTCAAACGCKCCAACCCGACCCCGGCATTGTTCGCCAGGGAATTAAAACTGCAAGGCCAGCCCCAGAGAGTGATTTAGTTACTGAGACTGGGTTGAGTCCTGCAAGAGCATGGGCAATAAAATGCTTCACTGCCCAGGAGTTTGGGCAATTTAGGGGTCTTCCCACGAGGAGGAGGCAGAGCCTGAAGGAATGGGGAGAGCGGAGCAAATGGGGAATGGGGTCTGAGCTCCTTCTGCCGGACACGTGTATACARGACAGGATTGTCTCCTAGTGCTCACTCCGTGTCCCCAACAGAGACACAGTCTGACAGCCTTGTTAAARCAATGAGCCTCCTTTGGCTTTTTTGGTTGCTGCCGTCTGCAGCCCTTGTGAGCTGCTGGGGAGAGAGAGCAGAGGACATGGGGGTTGGAAGCAGCCTCCCCATGGTGGGACACAGCCTGCCAACCTGCATGGGGTGATGGGCTGCTCTCCTGTGGGCAAGCTGCAAGGCTGGTGTGGCTGCGTGCCAGCACTTCGGGGGTACACCCAAGAACTCCAGCTCCTTCAAGGGTGGGGGGCAGAAGGGTGCTGGATGCGGTCACACAGCAAGGAATGTAGTGCCTAAGAGGCTCCTGTTATCAAGTAGTTTTGCAGATTTGGAACACGAGGTTTCAGACTCTGTTTTTCAGATGGCCCGTGTAGAGGATGGAGAGGGCCATCCCAGGTGAGCCAGGTGGATGCTYTGGTGGACAACCCAACAGAAAGCTCACAGAAAACTGGATTTTCTGTGCTCTGAAGTCCTGGGCTTCAGGACTGCTGGAGGTAGATGCCACCTCTGCCTGTGAACGRGGCATGAGGAAGGGGTTACTTCCCTTTCCTCTAACTTCCCCCAACTAAGCGAGGGGTTGCTCAGTTGCTGAGATTTGTCGGGGTTAAGAAAGAATTTCCTTGGGAGTAAGATTAGTTTGGCAAGAGCCTCTTGAGTTACAGAATACAGCCTCAATATCTGGCAAGAGGATGGGAGATCTGTGGGTTTATCGGACTGGCCTTTTTATTTAAGGCTGCTAAACTGGTGTGTGGAGGGACACGCGAGGAAGTGGCCTAGCCCAGGAGCAAGAATTCACCTTTTTAATAGAGTCTCAGCTAAATTTCCCCATACACAACAAGCCCTTGAGCTTCTCATTTCTGTTTATCACACGAAGCTGTGTTTGAGACCATTCCTACCACAGATTGGCAGGTCTTTCCTATTAATCTTTTTTTTTCTTT